TCTTTCTGCCTGTCAGTCACTAAACAATATTAATTTTTGGCCTGTTATCATACATTCCATTTTACTGTGAAACTCAATATTTGAATTTTCCTTTCTGATCACTCTCTCTCCAGCAGGAGATTCTACCATTTTCAGATTCTAACTTTTCCATGCTTAATAGTTATCACCTCCCTATGTACCCAACATCATGCATCCATATGCTAATTAACAAGCTAGGATCAAGGCAGAGTAGGTGTCTGGTGGGATGACCAAATATGAGATGGTAATTTTTTTTGAGAAGGTGATTTTTAATCGGTGTTTTAACACCAGAAACAAGCAGAATAATACTTTTGAACTGTGGTGTTGGAGAAGACTCTTGCGAGTCCCTTAGACTGCAAGGAGATCCAACCAGTCCACTAAAGGAAATCAGTCTTGAATATTCATTGGAAGGACTGATGGTGAAGGTCAAACTCCAATACTTTGGCCACCTGATGTGTAGAACTGACTCATTTGAAAAGACTGTGATGCTGGGAAAGATTGAAGGTGGGAGGAGAAGGGGACGACAGAGGATGAGATGGTTGGATGGCATCACTGACTCAATGCACATGAGTCTGGGTAAACTCAGGGAGTTGGTGATGGACAGGGAGTCCTGGAGTGCTGCAGTCCATGGGGTCACAAAGAGTCAGACATGACTGAGCGACTGAACTGAACTGAACTGAAATAGAGTAACCTGAATAGCATAACATTGTTTATGGAATTTTTAAAATTTTTCCTTAAAATGGAGAAATGATTTGAAGAAATACTCAACTCTCTGCCTACACCTCTAGAGTACACATTCCACAGAAAAAGGAAGTGGAAACAGCAAGAGGAAGTCTTGCTGAATATTTAAATAGTAGGTTCATGGCTGGGGAGTAGCATAGGCAAGAAGAAAAGCAGATGAAAGGCAGGCAAATTGTCACTAACTTTTGCCTCTGTCCCTGGAGAGGAAACTGCTGATATAGAGTCCCTTTGACCCTCCCAAGACTGTTTGGTGTGAAGATACAACTTCAAGGTAAGGTTCCCTGAGATAGCAGGTTTATCCTAGAGCTATCATCTGAATAGACCCTCTAGGCTCACTCCAGATCAACCTTCCAGAGATTCTTGTGGTCGCCTCCTCCACAGTAGCTTGATGTTTCCAAGCTAAGGTGGGGTCTGCCTGAAAGTCACTTATGCCAAAGGTACCACTATAGTAAGGCTTCATAATAACTCTGACAGCCCTTGCCCCAATAGATGAAAATTTAGATTTTTTCAGAAATCCCTAGTGGTACTCTAGAATTTAGTAGTTGGGCTTTGGGGAAAAGAAATATGACATTAAAAGGGCGAAATGAGGCTCCAGCTACCCTTAATATAACAAGTTGAGGGGACTTCGCTGGCAGTCCAGTGGTTAAGAATTCATGCTTCCACTGCAGCGGGTGTGGGTTTGATCCCTGGTCAGGGAAAAAAGATTCCACATGCCATGCAGTGAGGCAAAAAAAAGTTCAACAAACAGGTAAAAAGTTATTGAATGCTTAATACATGCTATGAAGGGAGGTAAGTGATTCAAATATATTATCTCACTTAGTCCTCATAAGAAGTCACTGGGGTTTAGAAGATGAAACAGGCTTGGAGTTAAGAGTCCAAAATCACAGAACTGGTAAGTGGTAGAGACAGGATTGAAACCCAGTTCAGTGGGATGCCAGAGCCCCAGTTCTGCCCCATTAGTTTATAAGTGCCATGCCATGCTGTGCTGTGCTGTGTTCAGTCACACCCTACTCTTTGCAGTCCCATGGACTGTAGCCCACCAGGATCCTCTAACCTTGGAATTTTCCAAGCAAGAATGCTAGAGAGAGTTGCCATTTCTTCTTCCACAGGATTTTCCTGACCCAGGGATTGAACCTGCATCTTTTGCATATCCTGCATTCGCAGGCGAGTTCTTTACCACTAGCGACACCTGGGAAGGCCCAATTTATAAGTAACTACTTTAAAACCATTTCAAAAGATGTTTAAGGATGAAGAAATCTCCTGGTCCTGTGCAATAAATCAGGGTTCCTAGCTAACTTTATCGGAGAAGGCAATGGCAACGCACTCCAGGACTCTTGCCTGCAAAGTCCCATGGACGGAGGAGCCTGGTTGACTGCAGTCCATGGGGTTGTGAAGAGTTGGACATGACTGACTGACTTCACTTTCACTTTTCACTTTCATGCATTGGAGAAGGAAATGGCAACCCAGTCCAGTATTCTTGCCTAGAGAATCCCAGGGATGAGGAAGCCTGGTGGGCTTCTGTCTATGGGGTCGCACAGAGTCGGACACGACTGAAGTGACTTAATAGCAGTAGCAGCCGCAGGAAACTTTATATGCTCTTCAGAATCACTACCAATGTTGATTTTCCTCAAGTCCTACATTACTTTCAGTCACCCTTCTAGACGGAGCCCAGCCACACAATTTTTAATAAAACCTTCTCTATAATTCAGTTTCTCATATGCACATACAGAGCTATCATACACACAACCAGACAAACACTAAACATATACACACTACACAGATAAATACACACACAGACTGCTGATACCACAGAGACCACAAGAATATGCCACACACGCTCAGATCACAGATACATACACATACACACACACACACAGCTCCACACACATCCTCCCAGGAATCCAAACACACACCATTAGAGACACACACACCATGTATGCACACACATACACACAAATGCACCACAAATATAAAGACAGACCACAGGCACACAGACACACAGATACACACATACACACCACACACAAATAGATACACATAGGTCTGCACACACAATATCGGAAACCCTCCATAGGATTTTGTTTCTCCTTGTCTACACGTGCCCCACTATCTGTCTAGTTTCCACCATATTCATCATCTCATTAACAACTCATTCCCACCACCGGTGTCTTCTCTTTGTCCTACTCCTTCCCAAACAGGGAAAACACAGCTCTTTTATTTCCACTCCCCAGAGCAACCACCAACACAAGAAAGTTGTGATTACTGAGGATAAGGGAGACATGACACCATGCCAAAGCATAGCAAGTGGACTAAAATTAAATATTAAGACATTCCTCACTTTAAATCCCCTGTGTCATCTCTGCTTCTCAGAATATCTCATTGGCCCTTCCTCCTCTGTAAGCCTCCTACCCTCCTGCTGTGTTTTCACGTGGCCCCTCTCTGGAGAACATCCTCACTCCTCCTCCTTCTTCTCATAGTCCCAGGACCTTTACCCAGCCTCTTCCTAGGGCTCCAACTCTTTCACTCACCATTGCTCATCCATGCCATGTCCCAAGACTACCCAAAGCGGACTACCAACGTATCTTCCCGACAGGATCATTTTTCTATTTGGCAGGGAAAATCTTGCAACTCCCTTAGCAGGCAGAATTAACTTAAGGCAGTGTGATTTTAACAGCAATTATGCTATTTCTTCTCTCTCTGTATTCTTAGAATGTCTTTGTTTAGTGAAAAAAAGTTATTAGTAATTTCTACTGCTTTACCCCAGTTTATCAAAAACCAATTAGTTGATATGATTCTATTATAATAGCTATTTTCCAAAATATTCTCAGGTCTATATTTTTAATACTATAGGGGCATTTATTCAAGAAATAGGATATTCTGAATCATCAAAGACTCTGTTTCATGGAACACCATTAAAATACTACACATGTGGATAGACCTAGAGATTGTCATACTGAGTGAAGAAAGTCAGACACAGAAAGACAAATATCATATAATATTTCTTATATGTGGAATCTAAAAAAAAATGAGGATACAAATGAATTTATTTACAAAACAGAAGTAGAGTCACACATGTAGAAAACAAACTTATGGTTAGCAGGAGATAAAAGGGAAGAGGCATAAACTGGAAGATTGGGACTGATATATACACACTACTATATAAAAAATAGATAATAATAAGAAACAGCTGCATAGCACAGGTAACTGTCCTCCATACTCTGTAATGGCCTATATGGGAAAAGAATATATAAAAAAGAGTGGATATGTGTATATATATATAACTGATTCACTTTGCTCTACTCTTTAAACTAACACATTGTAAATCAACTATACTGCAGTAAAGTTTTTTTAATTAAAAAAACACTATACATGAATTTCCAATTTTCAAAGAAATAAAAAAACACTGGTAGGGCTTCCCACCTGCCACAGTGGAGGTATGGTGGGAGATGTTGATGAATAAGAAATTAAACCCCTCCTTCATTTTCTCCTCTGTTTAAATATTTGCCTTTATATGGAAAAAAAAACTATTTTTATATAAAGCTCCTTGCATACAACAAGTATTGAATAAATATAAGTTCCTTGACTTCTCTCTCCTCTCCAGGAAAGAAAGAGCAGCTATGAGGTTCTACAATACACCCTCCTCTTTCATTGATTTTGGAAGGCCCTTCATGATCTCACAGTGCCAGAGAGCTCCCATATGAACTGAGTGTTAAATACTATTAATAGCTAATAACATTTATTATATATAATTAGCTCATGGGAGAAGTCTAACTATAGCTCCAACATGATTACTAATGTGCAGCCATTGTTATATTTGTTATTCAGTTTCATTAGCAACATTACCCTAACCAAGTCCTAGTCAAGTAAAACTATTTCTACACTGCCTTATTCAAGAATCTGTGCCCATCAAGAAGGGTCAGACTTCTGGCTAATACCTAATTAGAATACTTTTAGCTACCTAAATCACTTATCAAAATAAAAATATTCCAAATGTTATTTCTGTTTCACATTAATTCATTGCATCTATAGTGTTTCTATATTTGGTGCTCAAATTAATCTGATCCTAATTCCTCATACAAAAATAAAGAAAAATATCTAATTTGTATTATTGCAGAAATATTGTCATTTTAAAAACACTGCCATTTTGAATATTAATATGCAAAAATTACTATTTTAATTTCCATGTTTAATCATGTCCTTTGCTTCTTTTTTGTTGTCATTTCCAGTTTCTCATTCCAATTATGGACCTGACCAACTCTGCTGATTACCTGCTCAATGACTCTACTTTAATAAGAAACAGAACTCAGATCTCAACTTCTGCCTCAACAGTGATTGTTGTAGTTCTTTTGTTTATGTCATTTTTAATCGGCACGATCACCAATGGTCTCTATCTATGGGTACTAAAATTCAAAATGAAAAAGACTGTCAATACTCTCTTATATTTTCATCTCATTCTCTCCTATTTTATTTCAATATTATTTTTGCCATTTTTGGCCATCTCTCACCTTCAAGACAATCACTGGAGCTTTGGAAGGGCCACGTGCAAGATCTTCAACAGCATTTTGTATGCAGCAATGTTCGCCTCTGTCTTCTTCATCTCGGCCATCAGTGTTGATCGTTACCTTCTCACTTTTCACCCAGTGTGGTCACAACTGCATCGATCCCCACGCTGGGCTTCCAGCATCATCCTGGGAATCTGGATCTTTGCTGCTGCCCTTGGCATGCCCTATGTGGTTTTCAGGGAGACACATGATGACCATAAAGGAAGGGTGACCTGCCAAAACAACTATGCTGTGTCTACTAACTGGGAGAGCAAAAAGATGCAAACATTAAGGAAATGGATTCATGTAGCCTGTTTCAGCAGCCGCTTCTTGCTGGGCTTCCTTCTGCCTTTCCTCGTCATCACCTTTTGTTATGAAAGAGTAGCCAAAAAGATGAAAGAGAGGGGACTGTTGAAATCCAGCAAGCCCTTCAAAGTCATGATGACAGCGATTGTCTCCTTCTTTGTGTGTTGGATGCCCTATCATGTATACCAAGGCTTACTTCTCACTGAAAACAGATCTCTGTTTTTCCAGTTGACTCTCTTACTCGCAGTGGTAACTACTACCTTCAATACTGTGTTTTCTCCCACACTCTACCTCTTTATTGGGGAGAACTTCAGAAAAGTTTTCAAGAAGTCTGTACTTGTTCTTTTTGAGTCAACATTCAGTGAGGATTCCTCGTCAGAAAGGACAGAAAACCTAAATTCAGAAGCCGACATGTAAATTTTGGATCCCAGAGCAAACAGTGGACTCTTAGTCAAAGACATCATCGGGGCAGATACTCAGCTTTTGTATATAATATAGTGTCTATATTAGAGAGACACCTGGACTGCACTATAGTTAGATTTATGAATATTATAAGGGCTATAAAATGTGGTGGGTAATGTTGAAAATGTGATTTTTTCTTTTTACTTTGTGGTAAATGTTACATGAAACATATAACACCATTTATTTTTCATTGTACATTTTGGTGGCATTAAATTCACAGTATTTTGCAATCATCACCACTATCTATTCCCAAAATTTTTAATCACCAGAAAGAGAAACTTTACCCATTAAGCAGTAACTCTTCATTCCCCCTTCCCCCAACCCCTCATACCATCTAATCTGCTTTCTAGTTCTGTGAATTTGCTAGTCTAGATGTTCTATGTAAGTGGAATCATACAGTATTTCTCCTTTTGTGTCTGGCTTATTTAACTTAATATAATGTTTTCAAGGTTTATCCATGTTGTAACATGTATCAGAACTTCATGCTTTTTATGGCTAAATAATATTCTATTATAGGGTTCCCTGATAACTCAGATGGTAAACTATCCACCTGCAATGAAGGAGACCCTGTTCAATTCCCGGGTCAGGAAGATCCACTGGAGAAGGGATAGGCTATCCACTCCAGTATTCTTCAGCTTCCTCTGTGGCTCAGCTGATATAGAATCCACCTGCAATGCGGGAAACCTGGATTTGATCCCTGGATTGGGAAGATCCCCTAGAGAAGGGAAAGGCTACTCACTCCAGTATTCTGGCCTGGAGAATTCCATGGACTGTATTGCCAAGGGGTCGCAAAGAGTCAGACACAACTGAGAGACTTTCACTTCACTTCACTTCATATAAATATACCACATTTTGTTTATCCATTCTTCTGTTGAGAGACATTTGAGTTGTTCCCACCTTTTGGCTATTGTGAATAATGCTACTACAAACACTGGTGTACAAGTGTCTGAGTTTTTGTTTTCAAATTTTAAATTATTTTGAATTTGCTGGGTTATGTGGCAATTCTTTAAGTTTTAAGGAATTGCCACCTTTTCCACAATAGCTGCACCGTGTTGCATTCTAACCAGCAATTTACAAAAGCTTTGGTTTCTCCATACCCTCAGTTCAGTTCAGTTCAGTCGTTCAGTCATGTCTGACTCTTTGCAACCCCATAGACTGCAGCATGCTAGGCCTCCCTGTCCATCACCAACTCCCTGAGTTTACCCAAACTCATGTGCATTGAGTCGGTGATACCACCCAACCATCTCATACTCTGTTGTCCCCTTCTCCTCCGCCTTCAATCTTTCCCAGCATCACGGTCTTTTCAAATGAGTCAGTTCTTCACATCAGGTGGCCAAAGTATTGGAGTTTCAGCCTCAATATCAGTCCTTCCAATGAACACCCAGGACTGATCTCATTTAGGATAGACTGGTTGGGTCTCCTTGCAGCCTGAGGGACTCTCAAGAGTCTTCTCCAACACCACAGTTCAAAAGCATCAATTCTTCACCACTCAGCTTTCTTTATGGTCCAACTCTCACATCCATACATGACTACTGGAAAAACCATAGCCATGACAAGACAGACCTTTGTTGGCAAAGTAACATCTCTGCTCTTTAATATGCTGTCTAGGTTGGTCATAACTTTCCTTCCAAGAAGCGTCTTTTAATTTCATGGCTGCAGTCGCTACCTGCAGTGATTTTGGAGCCCCCCAAAATAAAGTCTGCCACTGTTTCCACTGTTTCCCCATCTATTTGCCATGAGTGATGGGACTGGATGCCATGATCTTTGTTTTCTAAATGTTGATATTTAAGCCAATTTTTTGCTCTCCTCTTTCACTTTCATCAAAAGGCTCTTTAGTTCTTCACTTTCTGCCATAAGGGTGGTGTCACCTGCATATCTGAGGTTATTGATATTTCTCCTGGTAATCTTGATTCCAGCTTGTGCTTCCTCCAGCCCAGCATTTCTCATGATGTACTCTGCATATAAGTTAAATAAGCAGGGTGGCAATATACAGCCTTGACATACTCCTTTTCCTATTTGGAACCAGTCTGTTGTTCCATGTTCTAACTGTTGCTTCCTGACCTGCATACAGATTTCTCAAGAGGCAGGTCAAGTGGTCTGGTATTCCCATCTCTTTCAGAATTTTCCACAGTTTGTTGTGATCCACACAGTCAAAGGCTTTGGCATAGTCAATAAAGCAGAAATAGATGTTTTCCTGGAACTCTCTTGCTTTTTCCATGATCCAGAGGATGTTGGCAATGTGATCTCTGGTTTCTCTGCCTTTCCTAAATCCAGCTTGACCATCTAGAAGTTCGTGGTTCATGTACAATCTCTACTATTTTCCTTTGTTTTCAAATATAGCCACTCTAGTTGTGAAATGATGCAATTGTGATTCTTAACCTTTGACTTCTGAGGCTATAAGAATATCAATTTCTGAATACCAGTAGTTTTGCCAAGCCGAAGCTCATTCTTCACACACAACAGGCCAATAAATCGGGAGACTAGTTGACAGAACAGGGAATAATGACTTTTGTCAGAAAGTTGGGAAGATCCCCTGGAGAAGGGAAAGGCTACCCACTCCAGTATTCTGGCCTGGAGAATTCCATGGACAGTCAATGGAGTCGCAAAGAGTAGGACAGGACTGAGCTACTTTCACTTCACTTCACTTCACTTCATTTCACAGAGTGAGAAGAAGGCAGACTAGTGTGTCAAAAAACCATATCCCCTCAGTCTGAATTTAGTCACCGTAGGAGGGAGGGACCTACTGTCACAGCAACCAATGGCTGATCAGAACCACTAACGGTAGCTCGCTCGCGGAAAGGGCTCACTGTGACCCTGACCAACGGCTGAGCCGGGCCACTATAGCTTGTGCTCTTACTGCACTTGGGAGCAAAAAGGTGCAAGTCCAGAAAGCAACCTGGTCTGAAGAAGTACCCTGCCGTTCCTGCAGTGTTTTCTTCCAGCCCTCGGTGGATCGAGGTGCCCAGGCCCAGACAGCAGATACCACAGTGACCACACAGTGGCAGCTCACATGTCTGTTAGCTGGGATCACTGTCTGAGGCAGCAGGCGCCATAGGATCACCTCGCCTCAGATCTCACCAGTCAGCTCCACGGAGGAGGTGGCCCCGGAGCTGGCGCCTCTGTAGTCCCGACCGAGGTGATGCGCGAACGCACAAGAGCCCGCGCCAGGGAAGGAGGAGGGAAGGGCCCATCACACCTAAGTTTAGACTGAGAAGGTCACTAAGATAATAGCATCTATCAAGCTGAAGTTTCTATCACAGAATTCTCTAGCAAATAGACATTTGGACCAAGGCCTTTGTTTATTCGGATAGCACCTACACTACTTGTTATGAACAAAATCTAACATGGAGATCACAAGACACTTATCTATAAAGAATGCGTGCGTTCATACTAAGTTGCTTCAGTCGTGTCTGACTCTTTGTGACCCCATGGACTGTAGCCCGCCAGGCTCCTCTGTCCATGGGATTCTCCAGGCAAGAATACTGGAGTGGGTTGCCATACCCTCCTCCAGGGCATCTTCCCTACCTAGGGATCAAATCCGTCTCTCCTGCATTGCAGGCGTTCTTTATCATTGAGTCACTGGGGAAACCCAAAAGAATACACTATAAAGAATGTATACTTTAATGTTTTAAGTATTATATAAAGATACCTTAAATGTCTTTTTAATATTTATGGATTAAGCTGTCACAGAAACATGGAGCTAGCACAATTATAAATGTTTGAGAATCTTCCAGGGTAATGTCAAAGTACATTTAATTTTAAAATAGCAATAACAAAATTAATGTTTTCCCTAGTTTTCAAGTTTTGCTTCAAGTTTTTGAAAATGATTACAGCACAACAGGACCACATAGTATCAGTGACGGATTATCTTTTATATATTAGTTAGTTCTACCTGTATCAAAGGCTTGTCAGGTGGCACAGTGGTAAAGAATCTACCTGTCAATGCAAGAGATGTAGGCTGAATTCCTGGGTCAAGAAGACTCCCTGGAGAAGCAAACGCCAACTTGCTCCAGTATTCTTGCCTGGAAAAGGACAGAGGAGCCTGGCAGACTACAGTCCATGGGGTCACAGAGTCAGATATAAATTAGCGACTACACACAAGTTAACTCTAAAATACAACCAGGAGAGAAGACCACTGCATAGCGGCAAAGAAAAAGGAGTAAAAAGATCATCACAGTACAAAGGAGTAAATTAGATATTTGCAGTAATAGACAAAAGCCTCCAACCAAGTCTTCACCAGTCAGAGAGGCTTTCCCTGCTGAGTGCTGCAGAACAGTGCTAAACATCTGAAGTATGCGAAGGACAGTAAGATAGAGGAAGCAGAAGGTGTAAAAGCCCCAGAGGGAAAGAACACAGTGCTACAAGCAGCACTACCCAAATTTGGTTATCACCTAATGATCTTGTTGAAATGTTGATTCTGACACAGTTAAATCTGGAGAAGGGCTGAGATGCCACATTTCCAATAGGACCCTAGGGGATTCACTGCTGCTGATCCAGAGCAACAGCATGATTGGATCATAAGTGTGAGAAGCAGGCATGGCCAAGATGACATAGAAAGGTCAACCAGGCCTGGATCCCAAAAGCTCCTGCTAAGAAGTTTGGACTGGATCCTAGACTTTATCATGAAGCAATAAGGAGACACTGAAGGGTCTTCAGCCAGAGTGATTGAATTAGAGTTGTATTTTAGAAAGACCAATCTGACAAGTCAAACTGGAGGTGGGTGATCAAATGAGATAAAGTTGCAGCAAACTGGGTAACACATGACGTGGCCTAAACAAAGAAGTGGAAGAAGGGACTGGAGAAAGTAGAAAGTCTTGTCCTATAATTTTTTTTGGTTGAGGGGTCAAGGCCAAGGGGAAAACTGAGAATGACTCTTTTATCTATTAGTGTTTTTGGATGCAAACAGTAGATTTCATTCTGACTTGAAGGAGATGTAGGTTTGATCCCTGAGTCGG